GGAACGAATTCAGGTAATACGGTAGCGAGAATCCTCACTCTGTGCCAGCCAAAAGCGCAATTTGCGCCCTTTGGCTTATTGCGCTAGCAATATTCGCGCCAGAGTAGCCTGTTTCCAGCTTGGCGCATTGCCGACTGGGCTATCAGCACGATGGATGTGAGAATTTTCGTCAAAAGTGATCCCATTGTATGAAACAAAGCAAAAGTTACAATCTGATGTAGAAATATCAGTTTGCCTATATACCTTTTTAAACGCCCATGGGCGTTTAATTTTTATTCAATTAAACACCTCCCCACATTTTCAAACCAGTCCTATGAACGCCCCTAGGGGCATCTATCCGGGTGATTCGGTACAGTTGTTGACCCGCGATTTCATCCTGCTCGCTTTTTGTAGCTGAGCGGACCTTGTAATAAAGGAACAAATACAATTGTAAGACGAATAAAATGAGGAGGGTGTTATGTAAAATTCAAAGCCAGAAAAACGGGTGCTCTAAAAAATGCACCGTATCATAAGCTCCCCCCTGTATTAAAGCGAAAGGTCAACATAGTGAAGGCGGGTCCAACTTGAAAAGGCCCAGACGTCCTTTTTTGCGACTAAGGGACAAAACTGCGATTAGCATTTGCGGTCCTTTTCAAGTTGCGGTTCTTGACAAAGGCGCGGTTAGCATTTGCGCAGATTGGTCGAAATGCTAACCGCGCAAATCTGTGGTCGTAAAATTTGTCGCCAGTGCGAAATGTCGCAAGCATAATTCGATTTCGTGGCTTGCGGCTTGGTAAAAAACGGGGGCTGCTGCCCGCCCCTCCAAAAACATTGTCACTGTTGAGTCGTTTCTAGTTGGGCCCAACTCGAAAGGGGGGTCACTATTATAGTCTCTCGCTTTAACCACCTATGGAGTGACTATTTCGGCGGGTGTTATATATGGGGGATTACGGTAGTTCAAATCCTATCCAGAGGCCTGCTTCACAGAGGTCAGACTAGTAGTGCTGCCCTGGTTTGTTAAACGCTGCCTCTACCTAGGCTAGGGGGTGTGTAAAACACATATATCTATTTGTCTAGTTAGGTTATTCATGTTTGTATAGCCTAGTTAGGTCAGCTAATAGGGAGGATACTTGTGTACTTGTTTCCCCCTTCTTCCTTTTGTAGTCCCTTTTTGTCGCGCCACTTTGACATGCTGTAAACGCCCGGATAGAAGACCCCCATGGAATAGAAGATATAGTGTTTAGTATTAGGCGTCTATCTTGTATTAGGCATTTCCGTTTATAAGATACTGATTTGAGGGAGGTATGAGATAAGATACCCTACGTTGCTTTCAAGGTTGATTTAATGTCGCATGTGTTAACGCCCTGTATTGTCCAAAAGGCTAACATCAGACCTCGATTACGCACACACTAAAGGGTCTAGAAATCCTCAAAAGTGTCCATCGTCGAGAAATCACAGTCGTCCTCATCAACGACCTCTGCAGGGGCGGGCTTCCGGAAGTCAGGCACCCCCCAAGCATGCTGCGCAGTACTCTTAGGCTCACGCAGCTTGTCTGCCTCTGCTGCAGCACCGCGACACTTCTTTGTCTCAGGGTACGGGTCTGGCTCCGCGGGGTTCTCCTCCTCCCCCTCCTCCTCCTCCTCCTCCTCCTCCTCCTCCTCCTCCTCCTCCTCCTCCTCCTCCTCCTCCTCCTCCTCCTCCTCCTCCTCCTCCTCCTCCTCCGTCGCCTCATCCTCCTCCCCTTCCGCCTCCCCCTCCTCCTTCTCCTTCCCCCTCTCCTGCCCCGCCACAAAGCTGCTATTGTCCCCAGTTGTGCCGCGCAGCGACATGTCGTCCGACACGTTGATCACAGGCTCTTCGCACATGTGTTGAAGCACAAGGTAGTTGTCGGTGCCGTCCATGGAGCTAGAGATGCCGCACGTCTTGAATGCGCGGACGATGACGTCACGGGGGACATCCCTCCACGCCTCGTCGACCCATTTCAGCACGACCGCATGAGGTGGGCATCGAAGGTTCCTTGTTGGATTTGGGGGCACAAAAGACAGAGGCATTCAAAGTGAATCCTGGTACGGTAAGCCAAAACCGTGGGTATGACATACAGCTACAGGATAGCACAATACCGTACCTCTCGGAGTCCTCAAGTTTATGCCGTGTTTCGTGAACCACTTGGCGTACCGAGCGCGAACTCCTGCTTTGAAGCACCTGTTGACAGACACGTCAAGGGGCTGAATAGGGGGGGTACATCCAGCGGGGATTATTGCAGGTACGATACTGTGTGTCCTGTAGGCGGCCTTCATCCCGTCAGTGAGATGGCCCCTGTAGGAATCCAAGACCAGCATGCTGCGTCGGGCGGCTGATCCACACTTGGGGTTTAGGAACGGCAGCACTTCCTTCAACAGCCACTTCTTTACAGCCTCCTCGTCCATCCAGCCGTTGACTTGCGCTTGAACTTCGACACCTGCCACGCACACACACACACAAGGGAACAAGGCAGATGCAATTAAGAAGCAGAGCCATGCATACATAGCCAAGCTTTGCGCTCCGACTGTGGTAGAGGACTCCAAAAGGGGGAAAGGCCATTCGCACCTGGAGGGCATTCGCACTTGGGTTTGGTTTTGCGCTTGAACCAAACCCACGGACGAAGCTTGTCCCCGTTCGCCACGCAAGCCAGCATCACCGTCAGACGTTGCTTCTCGTATCCCGCACTCTTCACTGGAATGGAGCGCGATCCCTTGTGCTCCAAAGTCCATTCCGCTGGCATCTCGACAAACAGCGGCGTCTGATCCGCGTTGATGATGCGGCGCATGTCGATGTTGTGGCGGGCGCGGTTGATTCGGACAAATTTCCAGAACCCTTCACAATCCTGAGCGCACTCTGTTAATAGGGGAAGAGGGACAAGGGTGGAGTGAAGGAGGAGGGGGAGGGGGAGGGAGAAGCAAGCACGCACGGCAAGCAAGCATGCACGGCAAGCATGCGCTTGAACTTCGATGGGCGATGAGTCCAGCAAGCAGAGACGATCAGCCAGCAAGGGAACGCAAGCAAACGCTCACCTGGAGAGAGCTTTTGGCCGACCTTAGTGCGGCAGCGCATGGTGAATCCCCAGCGCTTGCAAAACTGTTGGCTCCAGTGGCTGGACGCCTGCCAATGGCCCTTCGGCTGCTGCTTGCGCATGTAATTGAGGCTCCACTCACGGATCTGTTTCACGCCGACCGTCAAGCCGAGTTCCCGCTGCTCGCAGATCCATTTGTACAGCTTCTCCTCCATGACAGGGTGATGAGCATGCCACCCCGCACCGTGGAGTCGCTTGCGACACTTGGCGGCACCCCTGTACCGCCCAAGCATCTGCTGGTCCACCCACCGCTTGATGGAACACGGGCCCACGCCCGCCTCTGCCGCAGTCCGCTTGAAGGACTTGAGCTCGTAATAGCAGCGGGCCCATTTCGTTTTCTCTTGCACGGTGAAGCTACGACGACACTTCTTCGAGAGTCGGTTTCGCGGAGACGGCGGCTGGGCATCAGGATTCTTCTCCTGCGGGTCTTTCGGCTTCCTGCCTTCAGGGAAGGTGGGGAGCGGGCCGGCTGCCTCTTCATACTGGTTGTCAGACTTATCTCCGGGGACCGCGTCTGGAGTAGAGACGCCATCCCGCTGTGTGGCCTTCCGGGGATGCGGTGACGACTTCTTTCGCTTTGATGACTGTGGGATGTCGTCCACCTTAGATTTGCCCTTCTCCGCTGCTGTGTATCGCTGCCGCTTGGGAGAGACTTCGTCAGGTTCTGCACTCCGCTTCTTCTTTGTTGCAGTAGCACCGTTCTCGCTGCGCGGCAATCGCTGCTTCTTCACCTCGGAGTCAACCAGCCACTTCACATGGCGCTTCTCGATCGGAACGTTTTCGTCACTCATGCCGTCACTCCCCATGTCGTCGCCGTGGCTCACGTCGTCACCGTCACCCATGTTGTCGCAAGCCGCATCGCCGTCATCCCCGTCCTCCACCTCCTCTGATGCACCCTCCTCGCCTTTGCCACACTCCTCAATGTCGTCATCACGACCGTATTCCTCTGCGTGGTCACCGTAATGCTCTTCACCGCTTGCCATCTCGCCCGCTTGGTTATCATCTTCATCCTCCTCACCAGCGTACCATTCCTCAACCTCCTCCGCGGAACCGATGGGTTTCGCCCACCAGTCGTCGTCAGAGGCGTTGGCAGAGCCGCCGTCCTCAGCGTTGTTGTCCTCCCCCTCGCCCATTCCAACCATCCCATAGTCAGGCGGCGGCGACGAGGGTTTCTTGGCAGGTGAGGACGAGGTTTTCTTCGCAGCGGTGTCTGGGATATTCAGCGTGTGGCCCGGGGAGTTGTGGCGCCCAAAAATGCTCACATAAACGCGGGGTGGTGAGGGATCAGTTCCGCGCTGCCTAAACCCTGACGCCTTGTCCTGAGGTGGATGCTTGCTGCGCATGGCGGCACGCGATGACAATAGCCGAGCTGAGGCAGGCCAGAAATCCGAGGCGTGCGAGGAAGCGTCGCTAAGGCAGGGGAGGACGCTGAGGTAAGGCAGGGGAGGACGCTGAGCTAAGGCAGGGGAGCAGAGTTTCCAAGTGGAACGAGAACAGAATGAAAAAATGAGAGGTACACCCCCCTCCGAGACCTCTGGCCCGGGGCGCGTTTTTCATCGAAGAGGAATCGCACCTCGATGAGGAGCAGCATCCAGAAGCTGAGATGCTGCTGTCAAGAGCATCATTCGGCATCCAGCACGTGACGGCCACTGCCAGCTGGTGTGACACTGCAGTAGATACATTCCCCCTGGCGTCACGCTGGCATGCTGTAACGATTGCGGCGTGCGTGAGAAATTCCCCCCTTAGGTAAGTGTTTCGTTGTCGAATTATGGACGCACGATCCCAAAACCGTAATTTGTTTTTTTTTCCAGCCCTTAAAGTTGGTGCTCCATTTATTAAGGTTTTTTTCCATTTATAAGATACACACCCCCCCTGGTTTTTTCCATTTATAAGAGACTACCATCAGGGCGTGCAAATGGAATGAATTGAATGATTCTCAGTTTTACACTCGTCGTGTCTAACTCAGAAATCTTAGAACACTGAATGCTACAAGGAATTTAGTGCTGGTGTGGTTTGGCATACCGGTACTACTGTCATCAAGCATGTACAGTCAAATGTGCATGCGCCCTCCATACTGCTCCCTGTGGTATCACACCGGCATCACACAGGTGATTCCCATTCATCACTCGCCGAACAGAGAATCAACAGCACTAGATATCTGGTTTGCAGACAGCCGACCAGATGCCACGTCGCGCACCAGAGCATCCAACTGCTGCTGACGTGTCGTAGATGATGAAAAGTACTGGCCAGAGTGATAGCTGCTGGTGCCACCGTGAGTAGCCATTACAGCGCTGCCAGCCATAGCAGGATTGTTTTTGTGACTGCCCATCCTGCCTGCCATCCGCATGCCTGCTGGGGTCGCTGATCCTCGGCCACCATCATATTTGCTGTTGGGTGCGGCTGTTCCACCTGCTGCTGCTGCTGCTGCTGATGCTGCTACTGCTGCTGCTCTTGATGGTGCTGGCGCTGGTAATCTGGGAAAAGGCATAGGCCCTAGCATGTGCAGGCCCAGTGAAGCTGGAGTGCGAGGGTTATGTGACGGAGGTGCTGCAGAGGCGTCTGCAGGTGAGGGGGGTGCTGTGGAGGAAGGAGCTATTGTGGAGGCACATGGTGATGGCGCTGCTGCAACTGCTGCCATTGGCCCTGCAGCTGCTGGCACCTGTGCTGGTGCTGGCAATGACTGTACGGATCGCAATCGAGAATAACCCAAGACATCAGTAAGACAGGCAGGAGTGCCACGAGAGCTGGTCCCTGGATGAATGGTAGCGCCTGGCCCACGGGACACACTACTGCGCACTGAGTGAGTCGGAACATGTGCCGCCCTCCCTGCATGCCCACCACCAGAGCCAGCACCCATCCCCTCCTCCGCTGCCTGCCCCTCCCCGCCTCGCCACTCACCCACCTGCCCTGCCTTGCCCTGGCCATTCTCATGCCCCCCTGCACCCGTGGATGCTGGGAGAGAGGGCTGGGCGGCAGGAGGGGAAGAGGCAGGGAGAGTGTGCGGAGGGGGGGCCACAAGAGGGGGCGCAAGCGAAAGAGAGGATGACGGGGGTGCAGGGCTATCGAAGGGTGGAGAGGCGAAGGCGGGAAGGGGGAGAATGGTGAGTCCAGGATGGAGTTTAGGATGGGAAAGTAGGGAAGGCCTGAAAGAAGGAAGATTGAGGCGTGGGAGGGGTTGAGTGGAAAGAGGAGGGGAGGCAAGAGAGGAGGCGGGTTTTGGGGCCGTTGGGTTGAGGTTCAGATGGGTGGCAGCAGCAGCACCAGCAGCCACGTCAGGCCCAGTGCTGGATGCAACTGCCGCATTGCCCATGCATGTGGCTCCTGCTGCTGCTGCTGCTGCTGCTGCTGCCCTCGACCCCGCATGGCTGTGTGTGGGAGAGCAGGGTGGAGAGTCATCTAGCACAACCACTTCGCCAGGGCGAAACCTTCTCCCCATCTCTCCTCCACCGCCTCCCCACCCTTGCTCCCGACCACATGCTCCCACTGCTGTCCCCCCTGCCACTGCTGCTGTGCTTGCAGCTCGTCCATCCGCTGGCACTGCTTCTAGAGACGCCCCTCTCACTGCAACTGCTGCTGCTGCTGTTGCAGCCTTTGCTGCTCTCACTGCTGCTGCAGCACCATTCCCATGCGAGGGTCGTGAGTGTGGGCCTACAGGTTCACCAGCGGTGCCCACAAGGCGCAAACCCAATGCTCCCTCCCCCATTCCCTCCCCACGCCCCAGCTCGTGAGAGAGGCTGCCAGCTGGGCCAGTAGGTGCAGGCGATGCAGGACGAGCAGTGAGGGCAGAGAGGGAGAGGGGGGAGGGGCGAGGCATTGAGAGGTGCGACGTTTGGTCTGCAGCGTGGGAAGAATGCGGGCTTGCGTGGGGCCACTCACGCAAGGTGACTTGCGCATTGGAATGACAAGAAAGGGGCGGGGCCGGTGGATGTAAGGCAGGGTGGCGCTGGTGAATGTGTGGAAGGGCGTGTGATGCGGGGACATGCATGTGTGCTGCTGATGCATGTGCCTCCATGTGGACGTGCATGGCTTGAGAGTAAGGCATGGGAGCATAGCTTGATGTCATACGGGGGTCGTTAGGTACTGCTACTGCAGCCCATGCGCCTGCTGCTGATACTGCTGCTGCCGGCCCACTTGCCACTGGTACTGTACTCGTCTCTGCTCTCACTGCGCCTCCTGCTGTCTCCACTGCACCTGCTTGTGCTGCTGTTGTTGCAGCCGCCACATGCTGCCCTCTCACCCCCCCCAGTCCAGCAATGCTGCCAGCCATGTGGGGACGGGTGAGCGCCAAAGGTGCTCTGAGGGGCGAGCCAGCACGTGCAGCAGAGGGGGGAGAGAGGCCAGCAGCCAGCGAGGCAGCAGCAGTGAGAGCAGCAGCAGATGGTGCGGCAACATCGACAGCAGCTGTGCTGGTGCTCAGGGAAGCAAGGGCAGCGGCAGTAAGGCAAGAGGAGGTGGGTGGTGCAGTGGCAGGTGGGACAGCAAGAGCAGAGGCACACATGGGTGGAAACACAGACACAGGCGCAGGAGGATTGGGAGGGGAAGCAGCAACAGCAGCAGGAGGAGGGGTGGCGCGAGGGGCTGAGGAGGCAGGGGAGGGAGAGCAAGGGCGGGAGCCCCTGAGTAGAGGTCGACCCATGAGCCACACCACCACAGGCTCTTGCTCTGCCTGCACTGCCCGCCCACTGCCGCTGCAAGAAGCACTTCCAGCAACAGCACCAGCGGCAGCATCAGCATCAGCAGCACCAGCAGCAGCACCAGGAGCACCAGCAGCACCAGCACCAACAGCAGCACCAGCAGCAGCACCAGAAGTAACAGCAGCAGCAGCAGCAGCACCAACATTAACAGCAGCAGCAGCAGCAGAAGCAACGCCTCCAGATACACTGGCCTCGTCGCTCACTGTGCCTGCTACCGCCATGCCCGTTACTCCGCCTGCAACTGCTGCTGCCTCCGTGCCTCCTTGCCGGCCACCTCTCCCACGTGTGCCTCCCTCTTCCCTGCCCTCTCGCGCCTGCTCCTTGCCCTCCTCCTGTGGCTCCAAGCCCCTCCACTGCCCTGCCGGGCCATCTGGCATTCCTGCAACCTTGTCAGCCCTGCTGTCAGTTGCGCTGTGCTTGCCTGCAGGCCCCTGACCTCCTGCCTGTCTCTGCAGCATGCTGCCACTTGCAGCAGCCGCAACTGCTGCTGCATCTGCAGCAACAGCTGCAGCGGCTGCAGCCGTGGCGGCAGCAGCAGCAGCGTCGGCAGCAGCAGCAGCAGCAGAAGCAAATGCGGCATCAGCAGAAGCAGGTGTGGTGGTCGGCACGCACATGGTTCGACAGCTGTCCTCCTCCCCACCCTCCCCATTCACCACGACGCCAGGGCCATCCCTATCCTCCACACTCTCTTTCAAATCGTCAACACCATCATACCTCCCAACCCTCCTGCCCCTCCAGTTCTTGTCCTCCTCCTCCTCTTCCTCCTCCTCTTCCTCCTCCTCTTCCTTCTCTTCCTTCTCCTCTTCCTTCTCCTCTTCCTCCTCCTCTTCCTCCTCCTCTTCCTTCTCCTCTTCCTCCTCCTCTTCCTTCTCCTCTTCCTCCTCCTCTTCCTCCCCTTCCTCCTCTTCCTCCTCCTTCTCTCCATAACTGCCCCGTGCTGTGAACGCACCCACTTCCCTGTCCTCCCTCTCTTTCCCCTCACGTGCGTCTGGCTGCCCCTTGCGTTTGTCAGCGTGTGTGGGTTGCTGCGAGTCCAGCTGCTGAAAGGCCGACACTGCGGAGAGCAGAAGGGAGAGGGGCTCGCAAGGGGAGGCAGGGCGAAACATGCCATAGCTACACCCACCAGCCCCGCCATCTCCCACACGCTCTTCTTCCTCCCTATCATCAAACTGCCCCATCCGTTCGCTCTCCCCATTCTTCCCTTCCTCATCGTGTTCTTCCTCTTCCTCTTCCTCTTCCTCTTCCTCTTCCTCTTCTTCTTCTCCTTCTTTCTCCTCCTCCGTCCCCTCCTTTTCCCCCTTCGCTTTCAGTCGCTTTTCCTGCTCTCTGGCATCACCCTCAGCATGCTCACCCGTCCATTGATCAGAGCCCCTCATCGCCTCTTTCCTACTGCCCGTACCCCCGCCCACTATGTCCACCACACCCGTACTGCTCTTGTACTGGGGGGAATCGCTATCACTTCTCCCCTTGTCGTGCCACTCCACTTCCCCACCCCCTCCCTCCACTTCCCCTCCTCTCTTCCCTTTCAACGACCCACTCAACTTCAATCGTTTGCACCCGCCCCTCGCAGAGCGTTCCCTGCTCCTGCCCCCCCCATCTGCGTCTTCCCTTTCCCCCCCTGCTCTCTCTTCCTCTCCCGCAACCTCGCCCTGACCCGCACCGGCCTTGTTCTGCCCACGCCGTGCTTTCGTCCCTGCCACTGCACCCTTCCGCGGCGCTTGCACTCCGTCACTCCCTGATCCCGCCCGATCACCCCACCTCCTCTTCCTTCCTCCAAGCCCCTCAGCCGCCTCCCTCCCCCCTCGCACCTCCGCATCCCCCGTCCTCTGCCTTGTTCTGCGTCGCCCTGCGTGCTCCCTCACCGCATCGCGCTCTTCCTCCCTCTCGTACCACCCCTCGAGCGCCCAGAACCCTCGCTTCCGCCCTCCCTTGCCATACGCAACCCTTGCGCTCCTGCGTAACGGCTGCTCTCCTTCTCTCCCTCCGCCGCTTCTTTTCGTGTCCTCGCCTGCCACTTCCTCTCTGCCTGACCTTGTTGGTGCAGCAGCCAACCCACCAGCACTCACAGACCCAACAGGTGATTCCTCTCGGCCTGCTGTTTCCACTAGCTCTATCTCTGCCTCATGCTGCTCTGCCTCATCTCTCTCTGCTTCCATCCCATCCAGGAATTCCTTGTCTCTCTCCTGCTCCTGCCTTTCGCCCGCCTGCTCTTGCGTCTGAGGCCCTGCCCCCTCCTCCCCGCTCCTCTCCTCTGCCTCGTCATCCCCACTCTCGCCTACGACCCAGCACTCGTCATCCGTGCCCCCCACAGCAGCATCTCCGCGTGGGGACGCACCCACCTCACCACTCTCGCCTCCCTGCCTCCTGCTGCCTTCCTCCGCCTGATGGTACGAGTGAGCCTGCCCGTCAGAAACATCCCTCCCCTGTTGCTCGTCACCCTCGTTAGCAGCACCTTCAGCTATCTCTTTGACCGCATCATTATCCCCTTCTTTTACCTCCGCAGCGTCATTACTCTCACCGGCCTTCCCCTCCTCTGCCCCCTCAGCATCCTCGTCCTTGTCTTCAGATGGCAGCTTGTTTCTGGAATCCAACTCACCAACAGCACCAGCAGCATCAGCAGCTGCATCAGCAGTATCCAGATTCGTATGTATGGCAGTGGTAACACTGTCTGACGCAGCAGGAGTAGAAGCAGTGGCACTAGCTGCTGCAGCAGCGGTGGCAGCAGCTGTGGTAGCATTCCTTTCCAGATCTATGCTATCAGTGCTATCAGTGCTATCAGTGCTATGAGTGCTATCAGTGCGCTTGGCATCTCTCGCGTCCTCCACATCCCTCCCACTGCATGCACTCCCACCGCCCTCTCTATCCTGCTGCACCTTGCACGGTCTTCCGCCTAATCCCTCCTCTACTGAGCTCTGAGCAGCATCGGAGCCCTGAGCAGCATCGGAGCCCTGAGCAGCATCGGAGCCCTGAGCAGCATCGGAGCCCTGAGCAGCATCGGAGCCCTGAGCAGCATCGGAGCCCTGAGCAGCATCGGAGCCCTGAGCAGCATCGGAGCCCTGAGCAGCATCGGAGCCCGTTGCTGCCACAGCGACCCTTGCCTCAGCAGCTGCTGGACCTGTCCCCAGCATGTCTGAGCCTGCATCCTCTCTAGCACCTGCTGCTGCGGCACTGACCCGAGTGAAACCCCCAGAGCATCCCGACAACTCCTCTGCCCCCTCTGCCTCCTTGGCCCCCTCTGCTTCCTCGGCCCCATCTGCCCCGTCGGTCCCCTCGGCCCCATCTGCCCCGTCGGTCCCCTCTGCCCCCTTTACCCTGTCTGCTTCCTCTCCTGCCGCTCTTAATGGATCCACTGTGCTCTCCTCCGCTGCTTTACCCTGCTGTGCCTCACCGCTCACATGCTCGCTGCCCGTCACCTCACACTCAAGCTGCATGCTCCACACACCATCTTCCCGTTCCTCCACATACACGCCTCTTCCTCCTCCTGCGGCTCCTACAGCGACTGCGCCTGCCACTGTGATTGTCCCTGGCTCCATCGCAGCAGGCACGTGCATGCTTGCCACACCTCGTCCACACTCCTCCTGTCTCGTCTCTACTGCAGCCTCGTCCTTTCCTCCTCCCTGCACCTGGCACGATGCCTCACGTTGTTTCTCCTCTTCGGCTTTACCTATTGCACCCTCCCTCTGCTGCGCCACCTCTATCGCCCCTTTTAACAGACCCGTTGCTTCCACATCTGGTAAGAACCTGGCCGCCCCTGGCTCGTTTGCAGAAGCAGCAGCAGCGGGACGAGCAAGAGCAGCAAGAGGAACAGCTGGAGCCTCAGCAGGTGGAGCCTCAACAGCAGGCGCCTCAGGAGCAGCAACAGCAGGGCCAGCAGGAGCAGGAGAGGCAGGAGGAGCAGCAGGAGCAGCTGGAGCAGGAGCAGAAGCAGGAGCAGGAGCAGCAGGAGGAGGAGGAAGAAGAAGAGGAGGAGGAGGAGGAGGAGGGGGGGAGGAGGAGGTGGAGGAGGAGAAGAAGCAGCAGCAGCAACAGGAGCAGAAGGAATACCAGCAGCCAAAGGAACAACAGCAGAGACACCAGAAGCAGCAGGAGCAACAGCTGCAGCAGTAATAGTAGGAGGAGCAGCAGCAGGAGAAGGAGCAGGAGGAGGAGAGGGAGGAGGAGAGGGAGGGGAAGGAGGAGGAGGAGGAGGAGGAGGAGGAGGAGGAGGAGGAGGAGGAGGAGGAGGAGGAGGAGGAGGAGGAGGAGGAGGAGGAGGAGGAGGAGGAGGAGGAGGAGGAGGAGGAGGAGGAGGAGGAGGAGGAGGAGGAGGAAGAGGAGGAGGAGGAGGGAGGGGAGGAGGAAGCGGGAAAGGAGGAGGAGGGGAGGGAGGAGGAGGAGGGGGGAAGGAGGAGGGAAGGAGGAGGAGGAGGAGGAGGAGGAGGAGGAGGAGGAGGAGGAGGAGGAGGAGGAGGAGGAGGAGGAGGAGGAGGAGGAGGAGGAGGAGGAGGAGGAGGAGGAGGAGGAGGAGGAGGAGGAGGAGGAGGAGGAGGAGGAGGAGGAGGAAGAGGAGGAGGGGGGTTAGGAAGAGGAGGAGGAGGAGCAGGAGTGTTGGCACGAACAGCAGTAGTAGCAGCAGCAGCAGCGGGAGCAGCGGGAGCAGCAGTAGTAAGAGGAGAAAAGGTAGGAGCAGCAGCAGCAACAATAGAAACAGCAGCTGTAGCGCCAGCGACAGCAGTAGCGGCAGGAGCAGAAGGGGCAGCGGGAACAGCAGCCGGAACAACAGGAAAAGCAGCAGCAGCAACAATAGCGGCAGCAGGAGTAGTGGCAGCAGGAGTAGTGGCAGCAGGAGTAGTGGCAGCACGGACACGAGGAGGAGCGGCAGCAGTGATTCTGGAAGGAGTGGCAGCTGCAGACTGTGTGGCACTTGCATCCACTGCTTCTCCAGCACCTGCTGCTCCCTCTGCCCGCCTGCTCTGCTCACGGCCCAGTGCATCTGCCCCATCCCCAACCGCCACCCTCACCACTATTGCCCCTCCACAATCCAGTGAAAGCGATGACGAGGGCGAGGCTGCGGGTAAAGGAGAGGCAGGGGGCGGAGGGGAGGAGCGGGAGGGGAGCAGGGGATCGCAGGCAGCAGCCGCAGCAGCAGCAGCAGAGGCAGCAGCGGCAGCAGCAGCCGCAGCAGTAGCGTGTGTGGGGCTGAGGGTGGATGACAGGTCAACAGCAGTGCGCACAGGGGTGCCATGCGAGTCCCTCACGAGGGGGGCATTGCAACTGCCGGCTTCGCAATCAGCTCCCTGCAAAGAGCAATATTCCGCCTTCGACTCACATCCTGCCTTTTCTCTTGTCCGCTGCCCCTGGGCCGTTCCGGTACCCGATCCCTCATGCTCTCCATGTCCTCTCTCCTGCTGAGCACCCCGTGCCATGTCTCCAGAAGAATGGGCCATGCACGCCTGCCCGCTGCCACCGCTCGGGTGGATTGAGGCCGCTTCCTGCTCAGCAGATAAGAGTGTGACAGGGGAGAGATGGGGACGTTGATGGAAGGCCGGAGATAAGGCAGCCATAGCACAGTGCACGAGCGACTACCTGACCAGCTGTGCGGGTGAATGGGATGAGGGGGTGCAGCATGAGCTCAAGTGGCAGACGAGTTTCTCTCACAGAATGTGATGAGCCCTGGGAGGGACAGTGGGGCAGCGGCAGCAGCATGAGCATGAGCATGGGCATGGGCATGAGCATGGGCATGAGCATGGGCATGGGCATGGGCATGGGCATGGGCATGAGCATGAGCATGGGCATGAGCATGGGCATGGGCATGAGCATGAGCATGGGCATGAGCATGGGCATGGGCATGAGCATGAGCATGGGCATGGGCATGAGCATGGGCATGGGCATGGGCATGAGCATGGGCATGGGCATGAGCATGAGCATGAGCATGGGCATGAGCATGGGCATAGGCATGAGCATGAGCATGGGCATGAGTATGGGCATGGGCATGAGCATGGGCATGGGCATGGGCATGAGCATGGGCATGGGCATGAGCATGGGCATGAGCATGGGCATGGGCATGAGCATGGGCATGGGCATGGGCATGAGCATGGGCATGGGCATGAGCTTGAGCATGGGCATGGGCATGAGCATGGGCATGGGCATGAGCATGGGCATGGGCATGGGCATGAGCATGAGCATGGGCATGGGCATGAGCATGGGCATGGGCATGAGCATGAGCATTGAGCGGTGCAACTCACTGTGCCAACATCCACAGAGCTCGTCTCTTGCCCCCGCTGCCCCTCGCCCTTCACCGTGCCCTGCTCTCCACGCTCCTCTGCGCCTTGCCCCTCCTGCCCCTCCCCCATCTCCTTCCCGCCCCTCTCCTCCCTCACCACCCTCTCCTGCCCCTCCCCCATCTCCTTCCCCCCCCTCTCCTCCCTCACCACCCTCTCCTGCCCCTCCCCCCTCTCCTGATCCTCCCCCCTCTCTTGCCCCTGCCCCCTCGCCTCGCCACCATCCAAGCAGCTCCCGGTCACCTGCCTACCATGCACGCCCCCCTCCCCCACACACCTCCCCACTGCCTGCTCCTCGCTGCCCTCCCCACCTCCTGCCGCTTCCTCCACACACGTGGCAGCATCCAAGCATCCCCCGCTGGCTTCCACGGCCGCTGAAACGTGCCCCTCCGCATCACCTCCTTGCCTCCCGTCCTCCTCGCCCGTCCTCGCTGCAAAGGCATGCCTTGACCGCTCAGTCTCTCCATTCTCCTCCTTCGCCTCCTCGCCATCTCCATGCACTGCCTCTCCCCCATCCCCATCGCCCTCACCCCCCCCTCCTTGCATGTCAATCTCCTCCGACTCGTCCTCACTTGAGTCCTTGCCTGCTGCCCACCTACCACCCTGCCTGCCCCCTCTTCCCCTCCTACCCCCTCGCCCTCTCCCCCTACCCATCCTACCACCCCCGTCTCTCCTCCACCTCGCACCCACCGCCCCCCTCCCCCTTCCTCTCCTCCCCCCTCTGGTGCCCCTCTCTCTCCCCTCTTCACATGACTCCGCACCCACCTCATGCTTCACCTCATCATCCCTTTCCTTCGCGCCCTCTCTCTCCCCATCATCACACGCACCTCCCTCGCCCTTCTCCTCCTGCCCCTCCTTCCTTGCATCCTCTCCGCTCGCCTCGCCACTCGCCTCCCCATTCACTTCCTCAGCAACACCAGCGCATGCATCGCCGTCACCAGCGGCAGCAGCAGGGAGCGCGGGCAGGTCGTACGCCTCCCACGGGCCTCTGCATTTGCGGGCCACAGCGCCCAGTGCGCGCGGCCGGGCGTTGCTGTTGCTGGGCTTGAGGCGGACCACTCGAGTGGAGCGCTGCAGAATGTCGTCCCACACACGCAGCTTCAAAGGCCGCACACTCGCACCACCTTCACCTACACCCGCGCCAGCAGGGACGGGTGCTGCTGCTGCAGTGGCGGCACCATGGGTGCTGCTCCCGGCACCCTGCTCTGCTGCAACCAGCCTCGCACACACCTCCTTCACACCACCGCTGCCACGCATGCCCCCACCTGCAGCTCCCACGACCACCCTCTCTTCCTCCTCCCTCGGACTGAACCTTCCCAGCTTTATCCTCGCACCCCTCACTTGTGGCTTTGCATCCTCCTCCTCCTTCGCTTGGACTACCCAATCAGCGTGCTCCTCCTGATGCCCCTTCTCGTCCTCCCCCCCCTCTCCCTCCTCACTCCTCTGAGCCCCAGTCCTCCCCACTGGCAATCTCTCCGCAACCCCATGCCTACCACCGGACCTGAACCCCCTCTTGCCGTGCCCATGCCCACTCGCACCCACGACCTCCACCTTCCTCCTCTTATGCCCCCTCTCCTCCACTTTCCCACCTGGCTCCTCTCCATTCTCCCCTTCTTTCCCTCCTGTCGTCTCCTCTCCCTCCTCCCCGCCCTGCGCCCCCCCCCTTTTGTCATGTGTGCCCGCCATTGCACTGCCATGTTCGTCCAGCCCCTCAGCATCGCCTTTCGCCTGCATCTCGCCCCCACCCACACCACGTCCACCCTCACCCTGCCGCTCCTGCGCGGCCTCCCCTTCTTCGTCCTCTCCTCCCTTGCCAATGGCCTCCGCATCATCACCACCCTCCGCTTCCTCGTCGCCCCCCTCCTCCTCTTCCTCCTCATCGTCAGCATCGTCAGCATCATCAGCATCCGCATCATCACTATCATCGTCCTTGTCAGCATCCGCATCATCACTATCATCATCCTCGTCAGCATCTGCATCATCACTACCATCATCCTCGTCAGCATCCGCATCATCACTATCATCATCCTCGTCAGCCGCGTCATCACTATCACCATCCTCGTCAGCATCCGCGACATCACTATCATCATCCTCGTCAGCGTCGTCAGCATCATCATCATCGTCATCCTCGCCATCGACATCCTCTTCTGAATCAGAATCTTTCTCAACACTCTGTCGCCGCCCACCACCTCTGCCCCTTCCCCTTCCCCTACCTCTGCCCCTACCCCTGCCCCTTACAGCGCCCCTGCCCCTTCCCCGTCCCCTTCCTCTGCCCCTTCCTCTCCCTCCCACCCCTCTCCCACGCCCTCCTTTCTCCATCTCACCATCCCACTCCTTCCCCTCGAGACTGCCCCTTCCACTCCTCTCCGCCAATCCCCTTCCCCCACACCTCCCGACCCGCCCCCTCCCTCCACTCCCGCCTCTCCCCCGGCCCCTGCCCGGCAGCGCCACTCCCAGCGCCTTCTCCCCCAGCAGTATCTGCTCCGCCGTCACCGGACCGCCGTTGCTCAAAACCCCGTCCCAGCCGGCGCCCGTTGCGCTGCTGCTGCTGCTTCTGCCTCTCCCGCGCCCTCGCCCGCCCCTGCCCCGCCTGCCTCCCTTGCCTGTCCCCGCGCCCCCTCTTGCGCTCTCCTCCGCCCGCCCGTCGGCCCGCTTTGCTGAGCGCGACGCCCACATGACGGGCGCGGCACACGCACTTCGCCTCGACCAGCCACTCCCACGACAGCAGTCAGCCCTTGCCTTCCCCTAACTGCCTCGCCGCTGCCATCCTTTCGGGGAGTCAGCGCCCGCTATTGGTTGGCGCGGGGAGGCGGGACAACCGGGATGCGTTCGATGTAAGTCATGCACACCTCGGGCCCTCGGGGTTGAGACGTGTGGCCTCCCGTGGTAGACAGAGCTAACTCGGGAAATAGGCGAGAGAACGAGAGGCAAGACGATATGCGAGAACTAAGTCCACCGACAAACAAACTTCTTGTCTAGAACTTGCTGCAACTGAGGTAGGCGGAAGGACAGCAGAGGGTTGTCCTGGGTGGTTGGCCGGTCGGTGAGTCTGGTTGAGGTGCTGCAAACCTGTTCGGTCATATTTTACTGTACAGTTCCCACAGGCCTGTTGGGGGAGCAGCAGAATCAAAAGTTCAAAGCAGGAAACCTGCAACCGCCTTCCTGAATTCATGGATGCTACACTCGTGACCATGTAGAATTCATTATTGTCTGTCTTAACATCTTACTAACATCTTACCGGTACAGGGCTTCAGAAGTCAGGACAATGCCCTTAAATGCTGTATAGCAGGGTGTTTTTTTAGGGTCATCCTGTTTTTTCAGCTTTTGATTTTTCCTAGCCCTGAATTTTAGGGGTTCTTATTCGAGTAGGCTTGAAATATTGTATGTTCTTGTTTTGGTCACCCTGAATTATTGGCCAAAACGGATTTCCAACCTGAAACAGAATCCTATCTGACTGGTCGAGGCAAGTGTTAGAATACAAGAATGATTAGAAACAAGAAAGACCAAGGGAGATATAGGGTTGGAATAGTACCCTCTAAGAACATACACCTTTTTAGCCTATAACTTCTACATACAACCACATGTATAAGTTGACACACCCCCTAGGCTAGACAAGGGGTAGTGCTGAGCAAGAAACACGCAGCTCAAGGTGGCACTACCGTATTCCCCCGGATAAAACATCCAGGGGTGTTAGTAATGTTAAAATTATATTTTATATAATTGTAGGCTTGGTAGTTATTGTTAAAGTGAGAACTGAATTATTGAGTAGAGGGAGAGAACAAGGGTATATACCTAAGAGTGTTGTACCCTCTAAGAGGTGACCCTATACAGTCTATACAAATATGAGTTATACAGATATTTGACACACCCCCTAGACTGCATAGGGGCAAATCCTGAACAAGCAGCTCAGGGCGGCACTACTAGTCCAGCCACTGAGACAAGGGTCTAAAGACCAGTCAAAAAGAGTACAGGCAAGACAAGAACAAGACCAGGGCGGCACTACTAGTCCAGCCACTGAGAAAGGACACAAGTCCAGTGTGAGTACATATATAGATATATATAGGACAGTACAAAGTCAAGGTCCTAGCAAGTGAGAGGCTACAGGAACTAGACCGAGCTGTACACAGTGCCGCTGATGATCTTTAGGCGCAAGCGCCTTCGTAAAGATATCAGCTGTGTTGGCACCAGAGGCCAAGTGAACTACGCGGGCCTGGCGACGCTGCTGTAGCTCGCGCAGGAGGAAGTACCGCAGCTAAATGTGCTTCGCTCTGCCCTCAAGTCGAGGCTCCTGACACAGGAGTATCATGGCCCTGTTGTCAGCGTACAGGACCGGGGCAGAGCTAGGCCGCTCACCTAAGTCTGTGAGCAAGAAGGTCAGCCAGCGGAGCTCCTGTGCCGCCATGGCACCAGCGTAGATCTCAGCCTCACAGCTCGACTGAGCAACAGACGACGAGCGAGTGGATCTCCAAGAGATAGCACCCGAACCAAGGCTAAAACAGTAGCCCTGCGACGACCTGAGCGTCTCAGAGTCGTCTGCCCAAGAAGCGTCTGTGTGCCCAGTGAGGACCACTGGCCTGCGTCCTCCTAACACTAACCCCATGCCTGATGTACTTGCTAGATATCGCAAAACCCTCTTAGCGGCCGACCAGTGCTGTGGTCGGTGCCTGCCAGTGGCCACAAAGCGAGCCAGGATGCTGAGAGGGTATGCGAGATCTGGGCGAGTGCAGGTCATCAAGTACATGAGGCAACCCACCAGCTCTGTGTAGGGGCCGCTGGGCTCTACTGAATCCTCAGGAACAGGAGCGGAAAGCCCGTGGTCTACAGGTAGAGGTGTGGGCTGTGCAGAGGAGAACTGAAGACCGAACCTCTAAAGGAGTTATGCTACAAACTGCATCCTACTATAGAGGGGACAACCCCCTTCTTGTACCTCATTCTCTTTTAGTGGACTCTCTTCTCTCTCGACATGTTCTCTCCCCTAACAAAACGTCCTCGCCATTCTATGGCCGCCTACCTTCCTAGTTCCTAGACTATCAAGACAAGTAAAAACCCATGTAAAATTTCGAGGGGGTATAATTAATGGCACATTTTGTATAACGCCCAGGGGCTATGGAATGACACTTTTATGTTTATGAAGTGGAATTGAACTGTATTATAGACAGTTCTTTTGTGCCAAATTTGACGATTCTTGCACATGATCACGTATATGGTGAGGAGGACCATCGTCATGCCACAATGCAGGCTAACAGCCACAGGTTGCCTGCGTCACAGGTTGTCACGTTCTATCAGATCGTGGTGGCAAGTGGCAACCCCGACGCCACAATGTGACAACACACCAAAGCTGGAAGGAATCTGCTGTAGATTCCTTCACGACCCAACCCAACCAGGGCCGACCGACATGGATTCTTCAGCGCTGCAGTGTTGACTGTGAGGAGTGTGTTCCCATGAGCCTCGTATCAGACTCGCAACATTCGCCTGAGTGACGAGAATTCCAGGCATGGTAACAATTCTACACCGAATTGAACCAATTCGCGTCGAGCTTGCACTGCTCAGTGACGCGTGAGTCTGATAAGAGACACTCTGATAAGAGGCAAAATCTAAAGAAATACAGTGAAAATAAACCAGGCGGTGTTGTATACGTTTCATGCCAAAAACTAGGGTGGTATAAATATCCAGTTTAATAAAGCACCCAAGTCCGCCCAAACCACCCATGGGTGATTAATTCCGGCGGATGTTTTATTCGGGGGAATATGGTACTAGTCCAGCCTTTGAGGCAGGGGTCCGAAGACCAGTCAGCAAGAGTACAAACAAGACAAGAGCAAACCAGGGAGGCACCACAAGTCTGACCAATGGAAGAGAAGCTACAAGGCCAGTCTGGAAGGTATAAATATAGAGGAGTGCACAATCAAGGTCCTAGCAAGTGAGAGTCTACAGGAACTAGACCGAGCTGTACACAGTGCCGCTGATGATCTTTAGGCGCAATCGCCTTCGTAAAGATATGAGCTGTGTTGGCACCAGAGGCCAAGTGAACTACGCGGGCCTGGCGGCGCTGCTGTAGCTCGCGCAGGAGGAAGTACCGCAGCTGGATGTGCTTCGCTCTGCCCTCAAGTCGAGGCTCCTGACACAGGAGTATCATGGCCATGTTGTCAGCGTACAGGACCGGGGCAGAGCTAGGCCGCTCACCTAAGTCTGTGAGCAAGAAGGTCAGCCAGCGGAGCTCCTGTGCCGCCATGGCACCAGCGTAGATCTCAGCCTCACAGCTCGATTGAGCAACAGACGACGAGCGAGTGGATCTCCAAGAGATAGCACCCGAACCAAGGCTAAAACAGTAGCCCTGCGACGACCTGAGCGTCTCAGAGTCGTCTGCCCAAGAAGCGTCTGTGTGCCCAGTGAGGACCACTGGCCTGCGTCCTCCTAACACTAACCCCATGCCTGATGTACTTGCTAGATATCGCAAAACCCTCTTAGCGGCCGACCAGTGCTGTGGTCGGTGCCTGCCAGTGGCCACAATGCGAGCCAGGATGATGAGAGGGTATGCGAGATCTGGGCGAGTGCAGGTCATCAGGTACATGAGGCAACCCACCAGCTCTGTGTAGGGGCCGCTGGGCTCTACTGACTCCTCAGGAACAGGAGCGGAAAGCCCGTGGTCTACAGGTAGAGGTGTGGGCTGTGCAGAGGAGAACTGAAGACCGAACCTCTAAAGGACCTGACGCACCAAGTGTGACTGGGTCAGAGTGATGGTGCGTGCTGCTCTGTCCCTAGAGATCTGCAGGCCAAGGTAGCGACGCAGCTCTCCAAGATCAGTGCAGGTGTGTCTCTTCAGCAGTTCAGTCTTCACAGAGGCCAGTGCGTCCCTGTCAGGAGTAGCGAAGACCAGGTCGTCTACGTAGACAAGGATGTAGAATGGAGTCTAGCCGGAACACACAAACAGTGAAGGGTCAGCAGAGGACGGAAAGAACTGCAGGTCTGCTAACGTGGCACGTAGCGTGTCGTGCCACTCGCGGGGAGCCTGACGCAGGCCGTAGACCGGGCGCCTGAGAAGCCACTGGGTCCCAGGAGGGAAGGTACCAGTGAAGCCCTGTGGTCGGCGCAGGTAGACCTGCTCGTGTAGGCTGCCCTGAAGAAAGGCAGTAGAGAAGTCAAGGGAGTAAAGCTCGTAGTCACGCTGTGCTGCTACGTGTAGCAGCGCCTGAAGAGTGGTCATCTTCGGGGTCGGGGCGAAGGTCTGGAAGAAGTCAACCCCCTCGCGCTGACTGAAACCTCTGGCCACGTAGCGCGCCTTGAACACAGGCGGCTCTCCAGGGGGGCGCTTCACCTTGAAGAGCCACCGACCATCGACTACGTTCACCCCAGGCGGGGGAACAGCGTCGACGTAAGTGCCGGTGGACCTCCAAGATGCCATCTCCTGCTCCATGGCAGCTATCCACTGAGAGGCCCAAGGTCCCGAGGTGGCCTCAGCGTAGGTGCGAGGGGTCGGGATGTCGAAGGCATCTGGGTCACCCTCAGGGACTAAAAGCATGGAGCAGAGATGGGGAGCAGCCTCGGACAGGAAAGCCAGCTCGTACTGCCTGTCCTCTAGGACGTCACTGCCAAGGGCAGGAGCACCCCCAACGGACGGAGGACAGGCAGGGTCAGAGACCAGAGCGGTAGCGTAGTCAAGGCGGCGGGTAGAGGCGAAGTCAGCGACAGCAGCGACAAGCGCGTCAAGGCGCGAGACAGGAACAGCAGGGTCGGTAACAAGAGAGGCAAGGACCCAAGGGACAAGGGGACGAGCAGCACGGAGGTAGTCAGAGAACGGGGGAGGTGCAACAGCAAGGGACGAGGGAGGAGGGGACGGGAGGAGAGGAGGACGAGACGAGTGGGAACGGAGCAACATAGGCTGGGTGGGCAGGACAGGAGAGACGGGACGAGCACGGGAGGGACGACGAGCCCAAACGTGAGACGGAGGGGTAGGGTCTGGGGACAGCGGAGGAGACACAGGAGGGGAACGAGGA